GTTCTTCAGGRAGCAATCTATATAAGAATATTTTGTTCATAAGCAGGAGCATTAAACTGACATAGCTGTTAAAATTTATATTTTCATTGTTATGCTGAGTAATGTGGGATATGGTGCTGCTCATGGTGATCCATTTGCTGTTCCTAATTTAGTGCTCTTAATCCAAGTGGATTTAATTTTGTTGAATTTGCTGTTTCTAGCAGAASAGTGTTTTTCTTTTCTTTGTTTCCCACAGACACTTCCCTCAAAATAGCTACTGAAGCTTCAATTTATACAGCAGTACTTGATAATGTCAGTTCCTGTTAGTATGAATTCAGCAGATTTGTGTCCACAGATGCAGGTTGGGTAATATTAAACCAGCCTRGTGATCTCTCCAGCTATTTATAAATATAATATTTATAAATTGCTGCATAGAACATTTCAAAGGGGAAAAAATACTAATCAGAAAATAAATTTTACAAAGTCAAAAAGTTGACTTTTTAGTATACATTTTTCTAAGCCTTTATGTCTAAAGCTGAGTTTAGACTTTGCAAGGGCCTCCTTTGCAAAAATCCCCCTCCARCTCTCTTGTAGCCCCTTTAGGCACTCAGAGATGCTGGAAGGTTCCTCTGAAGCCTTCTCCTTCTCCAGGCTGAGCAACCTCAACTCTCTCAGCCATCAGATAAATGGGATTTTTGGCTGGATAGCCCTGGAGGATCCTGTATAAGTAGCATTCCTTAGGCTGTCATTGTAGTGATCATCAGAAATTATTCTGTCCCCTGGATTAATAGTTAGGATTAATGATTGCCTTAATTAGAGAGTTATGGCAGGCTCTAAAAGGCCAGGATCCAAAGGTGTGTTTAGAAATTTTGGAGCTGATGGGGCTGGAAGGATGAATCAGTGGTGGTGTTCCTGTGGGAAACAACAGGGTGGGAATGGGGAGGGTGGAAATCCTGTGTGGATGGGAGCAGCAGGGTGGAAATGGGGAGAGTGGAAATCCTGAGTGGATGGGGAACAGCAGGGTGGAAATGGGGAGGGTGGAAATCCTGTGTGGATGGGAACAGCAGRGTGGAAATGGGGAGGGTGGAAATCCTGAGTGGATGGGAACAGCAGGGTGGAAATGGGGAGGGTGGAAATCCTGTGTGGATGGGAACAGCAGAGTGGGAAATGGGGAGAGTGGAAATCCAGGGAACAGCAGGGTGGAAATGGGGAGAGTGGAAATGGGGAGAGTGGAAATCCTGTGTGGATGGGGAACAGCAGGGTGGAAATCCTGCACGTTGCTCCATTCCAGGCCAGGAGTCACCTTGTAGCTGAAGGAAAGCTTGGAGAATTTCTGAGGCTCATCCAAGGTGCTCATTATACCATTGAGCACAAAGCAATATAATACTTGAATCTGRATATTTAAACAATTTATGTGTATTTATTCATCCCAGGAAAAGRAAAGGTGGTGGTAGCTAATTATTACCTGTATTTGTGAGAGGAATTTGCAGGCCACAGACAAGATCTGGATTTCCTGTCAAAAACCACACCCCTGTTAATTGATAAAGTTGGTAACCTCATTATTATGAGCAGTCTTGGGAAAACATCTGAGTTGCCTGAATTCATATTGTTCATATCCTTATCTCTGGACAGCTGCTGGTTCAAGCCAGCCATGAAAGATTCMAATTTAATTAAGGCTTTTCGTAATTCTGAAGAACATCATGCCCATAGTGAATATGTCTGTTAAATATTCTGTTCCTTTTGGACGCAGTTAAGTTGCAGTTTTACATACAGAATGAAGGTTAAGAAATTTGCAAGGCATCTTGGCTCTAAACACAACAGTTCTACCAGAGAWTTTTCATTTTATTTGAAATGCAAATCACAGATTTGGCCCTGCAGTATAAAACTCCCTTAGCAAAATGAATTTTGGGGGACTCAGACCAGTTTGCTCTGCCTGCACTTCCTGGAAGATCTCATTACTCAGGCAATTATAACAAACAGGGTTGCAATATCTCTGTGGGCTGGGCTCTAAATTAGTATGAGCGTGTGGCTTAGAAGGGATGATAATAATTTAGACTTATGTCTGCTTAACAGTAAAACTTTGGCTATTAATTGCGAGGAATTTTTACTGATCAGGCAAAAAAGTAAATTCTTTCCCTCCTGGAGACCTGAAAAGGTGAGTAACTTGGTTCTTSCATTTTGCTGGCATATGAATTAATCTAATACATCCTGAAAGTTAGAATTTGCTTGTACTGAAGTGTTAGATGTAGCTTTTGCTCAGTCCTTATCAAAGCTGAAAAAAGCTTGCTTTTTTCAAAATATATTTATGTATTTACATAAGTAAATAAGTCATGGTGTTCTACATCTGTTGATGGCATTCAGGAATGAAAACTGCAAACGGAATTGTAATTAAAACACCAGCAAATAGATGGATCCTGACTGAGGGATTGATATGGCTGTCCTGTCATTTAATGTTATTTTTTTAAAAGAATCCACAGTTGAAGTTATTTCTATAGAATTRGATCAGAAATGGTAGCTGAAAGCCCAGGAGATCTAACAGCTCTTTTCATAATACTGCTCAGAACAGCCAAACTGTGAGAAGGGAGTGTCTGGGAAAGTGAGACTTGCCCGGAGCGCAGGCAACAGGTCTGTCTAGAAAAAGATGTCAAGCAAGAAGTATTGCATTATCTCTCTGGAGCAAAGAACATTGCTTTCATTAATAAATGGYTGTTTGATCAGCAGGTTTTGCTATGCCTTAACGCAGTTGAGCAGCAAGTATGCTGTGGGTACAGGTGAGAAAACAGGCTGGGTGTAGAGGCAGGGATGAGATGGAAGATTTACTTCTGGCGGTGTTTTGCAGCAAAACTTTCTGGGTTTTGCCAGGGCCTTGATGGGAGGATTTTCTCTCAGTGAATTTTCGAGTTTGTAATGTAGTAACTCAGCATTTTCTGCACGTTTGTCACTACAGGTGATGAAATACCGTGTCAGATGTTAGGAAGAAATGTAGTTCTATATTTCTTATTTTAACACCCATGTACTGCCCCAGCCCACAGAACTGCAGCTCACAGCACAAACCAGAGCATGAAGTGCCACCTAAAAATAAAACCCCTCTGCTATATTTAGAATTTTTCMCTCTTTTCCTCCCTCCTGGTGCTGAGGCAGGAATCTGTAGCCCTGGTTGCCCAACACAGCTGGTGGGCACGTGTTTTTGGGGAGTGGCTGGTGGCCAAGGGCACGAGGACACGGTGGTGGCAGCTCTTGGCTGTGGCTGTATTTCTGTCACTGAGGTGATGAGCACCCACACTATGGCTGCTCTGAGCCAGAGGAAATACTGCAAGGAAAGAGGGACATTGAGGCTGAGAGGGCTTTGGTTCCAACAGAAAATGGAAATCTCCCAAAAAGCAACAATTGGGAGCAACASGATCAGMGTGAGTGTCCATAAATTCACGTGCRAACCCACTCTGAAATTTTAAATTKATATTAGCTGACTYGATGRCTTTCCAGATTATTCTGTGCACAATTTTTGTTGTTTCCAGTACAGTTAAATGAAATATTTGCGTGACACGTACTTTGGTTAAATTTAGCATTATTCGTATTTAAAAGATTATTTTGACAAAAATGGTGAGACCAAAACCAACCCCTCATTTACATTAATCTTGGCCTCGGGTGACACTAAAGATAAAGCATTCTCATATTGCTCTTCAGATCAATGTGATCTGAAGTTAAATCATGGCTTACCCGCTGTGACAAGCTATAAATGGCAGAGTTCAGATCCGAACCTTGCAGATTCTGACTCATTCCTGCATCTGTCTCTCCAGATATTTTGGTTATATACATTAACTGGAGTGAACATAGGATGCAGAGAATGCTAAGGTTATTAATAAATTAGCTTTCCTTGTGGGTATTTCACCAGCACCACAGAGAAAAGCCCAGGTTTCAGTAGTCTTAGTTTTGATTTGATGGTACCAATTTTCATTGTAATATTTATTTAAACTCCAGCCACTTGAATTCTTAGCACAAGTAATCCCATGATAAATACAGATCAGTGGCATTTCAGTAGCACTGGAATAACAGTTGCCTATTACACTTATCCACAAGCTGAGTTATTTGAAGGATATCTCTGTCCACTGTCAGACAGCTGTCTTTTGTGATGGTTACAAAGCTSKTAAAATKGAAAGGTWTTTAATRCACCYYTTAAAACTTGCTGTCTGAGAAGACTGAATATCAAAAGACTGAATAGCACCCTTCATGGAAAACAAATAAAATGCTGTGACCTTCTGCAGGCTCTGTCAGTGCTTTGAGCTGTGTGTCAGGGCCCTGTGAGCTTGACTTTGAGTCCAGCAACATCACCTTACAAGCAGAAATTCTTTCTGGAAGATTTTTTTTTCCCATTTCAGATGATAGCATGAATRTATTTAATGCTGTTTTAAAGTAGAAGCAGTAACTTCAGAGTCTTCAKACCTGGGGCATTTTGGTTATTTAAACAGAAAGAATTGTATTTTCAGTGTCATGAAAGAAGTGGTGGAAATACTGAGTRGGGATATAGAAAGAGTAAAAACTCTTTCAGAATTGTCTTTACTCTTAAGGCAGCAATCAAAAAGCAGAACTCCTACAGATTTCTGYTTATAGGCAGATGTTTTTCATCATGTCTTCATTCCTTCATTGAWTTTTAGTCAATCCTCTTTCCTTCCCCACAGAGGAAAAGGTTGAAATGCTCTGAACTTTGAATCTAGGCAACCACTGTTAAAGATGAGAAGTAGGGGAATTTTGGGCTTCCAGTATTTGAAATTGTTCAGGTTTGTTTTCACTTGCATTTCACTGTTTGAGTAAAATCTCTTTGTAAAATGAATCAGAAATCTCAAGTCATCTATGGAGAAAAGGAACAGTTTTGTTAGTTTTCTTATTCCTAGGCTGCACTTTTGGTAAGGTGGACTTCTGTTTGTATGGCCTAATGTGCAATGTGCCAGTGAAATGCATTTTACCATSRGGTTGTTTAGTGTAACACAMATGRTTTTATCTCTGTTTTCAGAAGAGASAGTGARGATCTGAAGAAATYRCAGATGATGGCTTCTGATGCCAGTCACATGCTGGAAGCAGCTTTGGAGCAGATGGATGACATCATTGCAGGTACAGGAATGCTCTCCTTTGCACCRTACTGTTTAACTGTGTCTGGTTCACTTTTCAATAATTTACAATTATCAAGTTCTCTGACATGCAGATGTTGCTATTAGCCCTCTGGTTCGATAGCTACGTGAAGAAAACTGAAAGTAAAATAAAGGAAGAAACCCCACAATTTCCCCTCAAACATGTGAGAGGAGATTTACTTTGCTTTAATGCTACATGGTAACTTAAACACATCCTCAGCTATGTGGTAAAATTCTGTATTTTAGAAGTTAGTTTTTTATTTCAATGTGTCTTTAAAAAAAGTTTTCACCATGTCTTCTGATTAGCTGGATAATATATAGCTGCATTTTAAAAACACATGCACATATAAAAATACATATGTATACAGAAAAATGTACATAATTTTAATTTATTATGTCTTTATTTTAAATAGCTTGCCTATTAATCATCTTCATGACCTATCTCTTTGTTGACATGTAYATCCAGAAGTGGACCTGTGAACTGTTTTTCACACAGCTGTCCACTAAAAAGGCATATGATGCAAGACAGAATTTGCTTTYTTTTGGTGCTGTCATGGCAAGGCAATTAAAGGATTTTCTGTCACCATTACAGCATCCCAGAAGAGAAGTTTATTTCTGTGGTTAGGCCTGGGTAGCCTCGGGGTTTTCAGTAGGAGCTCCTAAAAGGAGTGCCAGGGCAGGGCCATGATCTCACCTGGGCACAGTGGGAAAGAATTCACTAAAGCTTTATAAATGTGAACAGGGACAGCCAAGCTGAGCCTTTTTCCCTCTGATGAAGACAATGATATCAGCTTTTTGCTACTGCAGAAGTGCTGCTTCTTGATCTTCCTCCTGCTCCTCTTGTAAAGCTCCAAGAATTAACATTTCTCATATGATTCTGATKAATCCAAGCAGTCCCACTGCAGCCTGCACCCATTCTCAGAGCAGCACAAAATCTATTAGTGCTCAGGCTGCAGGAGGGAAGGATTGGGAGKCAAGATTAACAAATTGAATTTGGCTGGGCCTGATCAAATTTGACAGATAGGTCAGCGTTCCCAAGTCTTTTATGTTTGGGTACATCTGTACTGATAACCCACCCTCGTAGCTCTCTCAATTAGGCCTTATTTGACTAAAATAGCAAAAAGGGCTAATGTGATTGCCAGTGAACATCCCTTGTCCATTAGCTGGAATGACTTGCACTCCAAACAAGGCTTTCTTTAAAGAAAGCACCATAGATCAGCTCTGCCCACCCATTCTTTATTTTAGGTGCATGACTTGGGCATTGCTTCCTTCTGAGCTTTAACCAAGTCATTGCTTCTCCTTTTATGCAGCTTAAACCCATTTATTAAAATGTGCTTCTTTGTAGGACTGTAAATTTTTGTTATTTTTCTTTGCAATATATATCCTAATCAATTAATACAGTTTTTATTCTACTATTATATTTTATCAAACTGCTTCTCTCTATCTGAGTTTGTATATCTTTTACTTCACTTTGTGATTAGTGACCATTAATTGTAAAGTCTGAAAACTCTTGTCACAATTATAGTGTGCTGAAGCTCCAGAGTCAAATTCAAGCTCAAATTCACCAAGCTGTCAGTGTAATTATTGAGCTTCCTTTTAACCAGAGTCCCTGCAATTATTGCTTACTGGAAAGTTAAATGTGTTATCACTGTGTAGTAATATTTCAGTATTAACACGGAAAAGTAAATACAATTAAAAAGTAGGGCAAGAAGTTGTCCTGGGAATGTTTGAATTCCCTTCTCCTGAGAATGCTGGTGTTCAGTTCAAGGCTCTGAGTGCTGTTACAAACCCAATCCCTTTCCTGATGGGAAAGGGGCCTCCAGAGCAAATTGTGCTTAAGAGATCAATGAACTCTTAGTTCAAGTTTTGAAATATTTTCCTCATGGGATTTACTGGCCAGAATTTGAAGGAGGACCTGTTTGTGGGGATTTCTAAATCACCTCTAACAAGTGATTGATTTTAAATGCAGGGGTGGGTGAAAAAAAAGTATGCTGGCACTCATTTAAACCCCTTTGGACAAATTTTAGGTTTTGTGGAATAAGGTTCTCACTGAGTTCCTACATAAATAAAGGGAAATCAACAATGACAGATTCATAATGATTAGAAATATTTCAAAGCTTTAAACACAGAGCAGTTTAGTGTCTTTCTATTTACTTAATTCATGTTTTTTTGTCAGCTCTCTGTGGCTTTGCTTTTAAAATTGTTAACAACACCAAGGACGTGACCTCACAAGTGTACACACTTGAATAACCATTGCAGCATTTTGTTACTACAACCAGCCGTTTATTAGGGCTTTTAGTCCTGCTGTTACCTTCAAGGTAAGACCTGGCAGAAGTKCCCAGTGCAGTTCTGATCTTTGTTTTAAAAGCCTGTTCAAATCAGGGCACCTCAGGCTTTGATTTGTGCATGTGCACAAATCTGGCCACTGATTCCTTCCCCAGGGTTGCCAGAGCAACCTGACCTTTGGAATTTCCTCAATTTTGAGTGCTTAACCTTGCAAGAGGTCACTGCAGTTGTTTGGGCTGCTGTCCCCAAACWTGCTTCCCCTTTCTCACTTTCTCACAGGTCATGGGGCTCTGAGCACAGGACTGAATCTTGTTTTTAGGACCTATGTATTTCCTCAGTAAACAGGGCAGCATGACAGAACTTAATGGAGTGAAAGCACTGAGAACTTCTTTCCTGTAAATACTTAACATCTTCTAGAAAAATAGGTGTTTAAAATTGTTTTTCGTAACATAAAATTGTCCCTTGAAGGTGCAACACAAACTGATTTTTACTCATCAATTTGGTCTTTGATTTCCYTTGTATGTGTTTTTGCCTTTCCAGCAAAACAACAAACTTAGAAGTTTTCTCGGAAATGAGAGTTTAAAACTGATTCATAATGGAAAACTATAGTTTAAATGTGCTATTTGAAATTCTTTATTTCTGTCAATAGATAGGGGTTTTTCTACTATAAACCAGCAAAAATACTGTCATGTCCTAGACACCTCCATCAGCTTACCAAAACTGCAGTAAATAYTGCATTGCATTTGTGCAAAATGAACTCCATACATCATAGCACTGAGTTTTGAGAAAGGACTGAAAAAAAACAGAAACATAAATAGCTGCAGATAGAACATGTGGCAAAGAAAGGCAGTTAAGCCACGATGGCCATAACCCCGTGGGATTGAAAATCTGAGACACAAAGGTCCTTTTGTAGTTTGTATGATGTGATCTGGTTTTTTTCTGTACATGACTGAGTCAGTTGTTTAACAGGCAAAAGAGCAGATTTCTGACATTTAAATTTGAGTTTGATATAATTACATTCAAAATCGCATGTTGTCCACTTCTTAATTTAAGGTAATGAAATGGATTTAAGACACTTTTAAAAATGAAAACAGTGCAATCCTAATGAAACAAGTTTATTTCTTCACAAACTGAATGCTCTTACTACTGCCTATTACATGCACTTATAGATTTTGTACTAAAAGCAGTCTTTTACTTACACTATTGGTTTCACTGGCCCTAAACACACTCCTTTTTTATGTGTAACTAGGAAAAAAAAATAACAATCTTCTCTTTTTTTTTTAAGTATTTTTGGATTCTTCACTAGGCTGCTTAGCTTGTGTTTCTGGCTAGGAGAGGTCTTTTTGTTGTAGCTCTGTGTGCAGTCCCTAAATGTGCTGCACATCACAGCTCAGCATCTGGGAGCACGTAGCAAAAAGGTCTGAGGAAATACACCCATAATTTGCATAAGAAATTATAGACAGTTCTTGAAAATTGTCTCAAAGATTTTACTTGTGATTGTAAGAAGAGCTCAGCTGAAAATCATCTGAGCTGCATGAAGCTCTCATCTGAATGTGGTCATTAGTGTTTCTAGGCTTGGAAATTTTTTCCTAGGGCTTCCTGCTAATCCAGTTTAATAGTTACTTTTCCCTGTATTTAAAGATCTAAAAGCAGAGATTTGAGAAGTTAATATAAGCTGTGATTCAAAACACACCATTTGTGATGTATTCTGCATTACAGTATGAGAAGAAAGGATTGTGTGAGCTCCCTCTTCACTGATTTTACAGCAGGCACAGGAACTGGGAGGCTGAAATATGTCCWGTCCAGACCTTATTGCTAGTTTACATTAATTCACATTTTCAAGGCTGTCTTCATGAGGAAAAAGAAAATTGTGCTTCAAAGAGAATTACACTTTGTAGTCGTGAAGGAAAGAGGAAGAACTTGGACAACCTGTATGCTCACTGAGCAAAAATTCAGGTAAAAATGTGTAATGATTGACTGAAAGGCCAGAGAAAATGTATGTTTATAGCTTGATTCTGATCACTGTTGGTCAAAATGTCAAAATTGTTGCTCTTGAATATTTCAGCTTTATAGAACGTAATCCTTCCCCAGCATAGGTGTAGTTTTTGGGTTTTGCTGTGGGGTTTTTGTTGGTGTTTCCTAGTTTCTGATCTGAAGGAGGCAGCAGCTGTAGGAAAATCTCTATTTAACCACTGATGGCTGAGYTGTGCWTTACCAGGACTTGTTTTTAAAAACTCAGCCAGTTTGAGAATGAAAAAATTGAGATTGAAAGGATGAATGAACAGAGAGATCAGACACAATATCTAGAGCTAAGAGAGGTGGAAGTTTTGTGATGGGTGAAGGTGTACAACACAAGCTGGGGAGAGGGGATTTTCAAACTGCCTTTCTACCCTTTCTTTTATTCTGCTCAGTAACTTATTTTTGCAGTGCTGTTTTCTGAATAGGTGATGTATTTGCCCAAAAGGAATGTTTCTTTGAAGCCATTCCRCTAATTGCAAGGAACTCGGGGAGAAAAAAAGTGCTTGCACAGTTGGGGTATAAGAAATGTGTAACTTAAAAGGTTTTTTTGCCTTGTTTTATTACTTATTTTATTCTTTCTACCTCCCTGCAATSTGCAGCTGCATTTAACCTCTGTCACCCACTGACTGTTTGGGGAGGCTGCTTGGAATGTTTTCATTTCAACACTTTCTCTGCCTTTCTTTCTTCTATTCCTGCTCCTCTAGAGTGAATGTTTATGATGATTTACTGTGTTCCAGGGGTACATAGGAAACCATGGTGTTGAGTATTATATAAAAACCAGGCAAAAGATTTCCCTGTGTCCTGTTTGCCCCTGGAGAAAAAAAAAAAACCAAGGTACAGGAAGATTGTGACTTGCTCAAGAAAGAAAAAATAAGTTCTTTTGCAAGAATTCAAAACTTTCTTCTGAGTATTGRTAAAATTCTGATGTTTGAACTGCATTCTTACACACCTATTGAGAGCTGTTAATGGTAGAGAATGCTGGTAACAATGCTTTCTTCACTCTGTGGCATTTTTGGTTTTTTCAATTAGTCTGCAAGGACATCCAAATTCTTACTGTCTGGTGTTAAAACTCCACATACTTTGCAGCATGATGATGTCAAGGTTTAAAGCCATGCAAAGAAATACAATTATTTACTCCTAYGCACTTCTGCTTTCCAGGGTGTGTTCTTGTCCTTCTGGTGAGCCATGCAATCCTATTTAATACAAAACTACATGGAAAGCAAATAAGAGAAACAAGCCTGTGATTCATTTGAATTTTAGCAGCAAATCAGGAAGTTTTCTGCATTAAAATGCTGAGTTGAGCTCTGTGTTTCTGCATTTCTRTACCTGGTACARAGTGCRTTATTTGTTGCATTCATAGAAGTTYCCCATTTTCCRTTTCAGCTAGAACAATAAAAGGTACTACGTTAGCAACCCACAGCAAAGTGGTTTTAAAGTAATTTTGTTTTGCAAAATGTGACGATGCTCAGAGTTCTGCTGGTCTGAACTGTCCTTTGAAAGGCCTGGGATAACTCAAGGGTGCAGATGGAGTAAGCCCAGTCCYAGGAATCACATAATTCCTGCTTGTGAATTATGAATTTTGAATTTTTATCATTCACAGAATTGGGTTTCTAAAGGGTGACAGTTCTTTCATATGCCAAGGTTAAAGAGGGTGTGCATATGTTGTTTTTCCTGGTGTTTTGGTAGAGGCAAATCAGATAAAGGTGTGCTGGAATATGTGAACATCACTGGCACTGAATTTTTCAACAGAATTTAAATAATTTTCTGTAGAAGGCAGATGTTGGCAGAACTGTTGTAGTCATGATAATGTCAGGAGGGTGGTAAGATGTGACACACAGTGAGTCACTTGAGCTGGTGAGCAGAGATGTTGCCAATTCTGTCCTGGAGAAAGTCACAGAGGTGCCCTTGATGTAGGTGTTTATTTGACTATATAAACTRCCTACCTAGGGCAATTAACTGAACTCCTGAGTGAATGTTTCAAATTGGATTTAGCTTGGCTTTTTTTTTTTCACACCTGATGTATTGGTTGTGGGCCTGAAAGTTTATGTGGTTTTGTTTTGATTGTGTGGAATTTTGTTTGTTTAACCCTTGTCTATAAATAAGTATTCTTACAAATAACATGAAGAAATCTATAGCAGAATACTCCTTTCAGTTTTTCCCACTCCATAAATATTTTAAATTGTCAATTTATTGAAGGGGTAGCTACCAAAGCTGATTATGAAATAGCTTTGCATCCTGTCTGCTTTWCAGGTGTGAAAAGTGCTTGCAAAGCAAAGAGAAAATATTAGCAGAGAGTTTTCCAAAAGAAAGAGTGAGAAATGGCACCATTACCAAGGAAACCACATCTTTGCAGGTGGCATCAGTGCTCCTTAGGAAGTCAATTCCATATTTCACTTTGTGTGTGCATTTCCCAGAAAATGAGTAATAAACCCCTCTGGCTGGGTGAAAAGGTATAATTGGTTGCATGATCCAAATGGCCTTTACACAATTTGGAAATTTGCTATTTTTAGTTGCTAGAGTTCAATAGAAAATCTGCATTGGGAGATACATAAACAGAAACAGAATTTAAATACAGCTGGCCTGAGTAGCTGAGAGCACAGAAATATGTAAAAAAAAATCATTTCGTGGTTGGAGTAGCCAAGGCCAGCAAAGCAGTCAGCTGAAACTCTCCCCCAGAGGAAGTAATTCAGGAAGCAGAGGTTGATTTATGGGGTGAGTTTTCTAATGTGGCAGCTTTGGTGCACCAGATATTGGAGAAACTTTATCTCAGACATGGTCTTAGCCAGAAATTGAGATGAGATCTTGCACTTGAGGTATTAAAATAAACTCATAAGCRGCGGAAGTCTGCAGGATCAAACGGAGTATTTTGAGTCTGAAGGGAAATTAAGGTAATATGAAATGCTCCAGTGGTGAAAAYGAGTGTTGCTTTACTGGAGAAAAATCCTACTACAGGGCCTTGCAAAATTTTTGAGGAGGGCTTTTCATTATGTAAAACAGTTAAAGAAGAAAACCACATGCATTGTGTGGCACAATTCAAGCCCACACAATTTTTTGCAAAGACCTGACAGAATACTTTGTGTCATTTAAACAGTTGTTGAAGAAAAGGTGGTTAATATTATCTAAATTATCACAAAAGTGTTGAGTAAAGCAAAGCRTTCAAAAAAATGAGAGACCAAGTCATCAAAAACTGGTTGACGTGGGGAATAATATTAGCATTAAATGATTAATGAGCAGTTTGGTTAAAGGCTAATTAAGGTGCAGAAGGCATTTTGGTGCCCGAGGACTGACAGCATTGCTGTTTTCATGAGTTGTGTATCAGGCTATGTATAAAATGAAACACTGAGTTCAAACATAGTTTGCAGTGCCCAGATCATGGCAGATAAAATGACCACAGCAGGCAAACTAAAACTGATTAATGTGAAGAAACAGTGTGCATCCAAGAAGAAAATTTGAATTCCTTATATATTTGTGCATCATGTAAGATGCATCTACTCAGGGAGAAAATAAACTAGGAAGATAATTTTCAAAGAGCCCGTGAAGATTTATGTTCCTTTCATAACTAATGTGTAAACTGTGTTAAGCACAGAAGTAAAAAGAATAAGATTATTAAAATCCCTTTGTATACATCAATTATGTAGTCTTCTAATGAGTACTATATGCTATGTGGATCCAGCGCAGTGTGAATGATCAAAAACCAAAAAAAAACTTCCATTAAGTCAAATAAGAGGGGAAATTGTGATTGTTTATCCAGAGAGAACATGAAAGATTGTACACCTGTCTTCATTCATGTACACGAGGCAATGAATTGAGAATAAAAACTTTAAAAAGTAGAGCAAATAGAACTTTTCCACCTGACTGGTTCTTAAAGAAACAAAGGGATATTAAATGAAATCAAAATCTGAAAYTCAGGACTGAGAAGAGATAGCTTATTTTAGTGTGTGTGTCACTGAAACACAGGATACTAAGACAAAAAAAAATTGAGATGTTAGAATTTGTATTAATTATAATTAATTCCATAAGTGAGATACAGTTTCTACTGTGCTTCTTGTTGTTGAGAAAACAATATTGGTTCTGTAGGGCTGGCAGGAGGGGGCCAGTGCCATTTAGAGAGCTTTTTATAATTTGTAGAGCTAGAAAAGTTTCATTTGCTGTTTTTACTGCTAACTTTTCTCCGTGGGAGAGTTCTCAAGCTGCTTCCAGTCACTGATATTTTTCTAGGKCTGGTAACACGATCTGTTTTGATCCCAGTTTCCTGTCGAAAAGCTGCATCTGTCATTCTTGCATTGCTTAGCACTGTGCTGTGTGGAGAGTTCTGAGAAGTTGGTGACATCTCATGGTAACTGCAGAAAATTACAGGTGATCTGGGATCAGATTTGGGGATTTATGATTTAACAGACATTGCAATTTTTTTGTTTGTTTTGCTAGTACAAACCTCATGAATTTAATTCTTCAGTGTTCCTGGTTTATCTATAGAGACTAATTCAAGTATTTCTGAGCCTGAAATGAAGGTTTTCATCCTAAACTGAAACTTGCCACTCTGAAGTCCAGATGTTGTAGCATGCAGTACCTATTAATTTGCCACCTAACAAACAATTTTATAACATTATTTTCTCTCCTGATTAATTTGTTTTAGGCACAAAGTCAGCCACAGAGTATGCCAATGGTTATGATATTGTATCACCTGCTCCATCCGTGTACCTGGGCACATTTCAAATTCTGCACCTCCTGGAAGATCTGAAGATGGCTCTGGAAATGCTGGAGGACCCTCAGGAGAAAGAAGCACTACGAAATCAAATCCCAGGGGCCACAGCAGTGTGTCTGAGGGAGTGGTTTGAGGAGAATCTGGTGAGTTGTTCATTGAGCTTTTCCATTTTGTTTGCAAACACAGTGGGTTCAAGTATTTTCATCCTTAAATTTTTTTGTAATAACTGAAATTACATACCTAGAAAACAGCAGGGGATGGTGAGCAGTGATAAAAAGGTGAGGATGTGCTGATTTCTAAAGCAATGCAGGTATAGAAGTAAAAGAATTTGGTGAAATACCTTATTTTGTCCTTGGTGAGAGAAGAGAGAACAAAAAYGAAGTACAAGAAGAGTCACCTTTTTGTGGGGTTTTGTTTGTTTTTTTCCTCAGTTCACTCTTTGCTGGAGATAAATTTATAACTAGTCAWAGAACTTTTAATTTTAAAACTGCCAATTTAGAATACAGTGGTGCTGTCTGATGAAGGGACAGATTCAGACTGGATGATTCTCCTTTCCTTTTCCTTGCTGCGTTTCCTTTCCTATCAGTATAGGCAACACGACTATTTGTATTTGTGCTGCACCAAAACTGCTATTTTATTACAAATAAAAAGCAAAATTGCTAAAACAATACTAAGAAATATAAGTTTTTAGTGTCCATAGGTCTTCAGCTGGGTGAGAGGAGCAGGGGGAAAAGTAGTTTAGAAAAGAAAATAACTCTGTGCTTGAAATCAGTGCTAATAGAAGAGGGTTTGTGGATGATTTCTTTCCTCTTCATAGTCTGCAGTGGAGAGGGGCATGAGAAGTGTAGCTGATGGTTTAAAGCTTTGTTGCTTTCAGTTTTTAAACTCTTGCAGCCTGTTTGTTTACTGTTTAAAAGAGATTTCAAGCCTCGTTTGAAGGATTTGAGGTGCTGACTGAAAGTAGGGGATGATTTGAGCTGAGTGGGTTTTGTGCATCAGTGCAAGGTCTTGGGYTGGCACCTTTGGGGTTCTGCAAATTCAGTTTTTAGTTCAGTCAGAAGTTTTCTGTGGAAGTGTGGAATTGGCAAAGAAATCCTAATGAGTTCTCACACAGCTTATGGAGTATGTGAACTTTGCCAACTTGAATTGTTTTAGTGCCCTACGTGTCATTGTGTTGCTGTAATGTGTGTCTGGTTTTAATTTTTGGAGAAAATAAATAATTTAATGGAGGGAGGCAGCCATAGCTGGATCATCCTCTCTCTGTGGGGTAACTCTTGAGGGTGCTGGTTCTGCAGTGGCAGTGGGGGGCTCTTGCCACTTTGTTTTTTAGTTCTCCACTCAAACAGAATCTGGTGCTGGTGAAGAATTACACACAGACACAGATTTCCTGAAAATAAGAAAAAGATATAGTGATAATCCTGAGATTGCAGCATATTTTCCTTATTTTCACACAGCCCAGAGAAGGTAACCTGCTTCCCAGTGGAATGAAAAAGCATTCTAAGCAAATCTGGGGCAACTGATTTGCATTCAGGAGGTTTCTAAAAGTTTCAGGCCAAAGCTCAAGCAGGATGTAAAGTTCAGTATGCAGGTGACAGGCTCCCAGTGGGCATGTGACTGTCTGGAATGYATGCTGTCAACATTCTGGCTGATAAGATGCAGAAAATTCAGACACTTACCTTTTAATCAGGAAGAATGACTAACAGAAATCRAGAGGCCTTTGCAAGAAATCCAGCACAAGTGACAGGGCAGAAAGAAGGAAGGTATGTTGTCATTTTTAATACTTTTAAAAGCAGAAATGGATACTACTCTCACTGCAAATGCTACCCTGGGGCACTAGTAAGTTTAATAATACAGTTTTTCTGTCGTTTTTAAAATTAAAACACAACCATTAGCTGATAAAGTGTGGTAGAGTGTTTTAAGAGAGGTATTTCCTTCTTCCCTGAATAAGGCTGAAATGGGAGTCTTAGAGCCTGTGTTTTGAAATGGATGAAGAGTGGAACTTAAAGCACTGTAGTGGGGGAACTATAGGATATGTAGCACTGTGAGATAAAGCTTGCCCTATTTGCTAATCTCCATAATTAGAGAACAGGTTTTCTGGGGGAAAAAATGTTTTAAACTGTTGGGCATTCATGTTAAATGTCCAGAAAAGCCCCTATTCCATCTCCAGCTTGTGTGCCCTGACGGAGCTGCCATGCACAGGGAAGTGTACTCTGTTAAATATTAATATTTTATTTTTTTAATGGACCATTGATGATGTATTAGGATTTTTGCCAGACAATGTGAGAAGAAATATTCAAGAAATAGTTGCTCTCATTAACTTTAGGACAGCTTAAAACCAGTCAGCATAGAATAAGAATATTCCATGCATGGGGCAACCCAAGTCCCCTCCAGACCTGTCCTGCAGCATTGCCTTTGGAAATGGACTGTTCTTTTCTCATCACATTTACTGCTGATTTTAGGTATCCCAGCACCTTCAGAAGTCTTGTAGCACTAACTTGCTAAAAATTGTCGTGTTTTTCTTATCACGTGACTTTAAGAACAGATAATAAATACATGAAGGGAACTGAAAGTCTAGGTTTATATCCTTCCCTCTTCTTTTGTGTTGWGGGAGGTTCTGAAAAGGGCTCCATCAGGTCAAAAAGGACCAAGAATGGTTGAAGTATTAAAAACCCACATCCCCTTGAAGACATTCTCTTACATGTCTGTGATTTCTGCAGTCTGGAATGTGGGTAGATGCCTATGTGAGGCAGGTCCCTATGAGAAAGGCTTTTCAGGGYTTTATACACCTTCAGATTCAAGTCCTTTGGATCTACCTTTAGTACCATGGGCAGCTTTGGCACTGGCTCTTCCCAGCTGCTGTTTTGTTGCTGGGWCTGGCTGTAGGATCTGAAGGCAATGAGGAGATCAATGTTTGAGATCATCCCGAAGATTCCGTGGGGACAGCTGCTCTGGGTTTGCAGGGACACTGCCCAGGCAGTTGTCCTTGTGTGTGTAGCAATCTGCTGCCTGGTTTAAGGCCAAAGCCACTGGGAGCTGGGGTTTATTGGGAAAAATGAGAAGTGAGGGATAGATAGCTGCAGTGTGACGGCACTAGAGGACACCACAAAAGCAGGGAGCTCCTAAACCTCCCCTCCCGCCAGAGCCTTGCGTTGCACATGCTTTTATCGTGGTGTTGCAASTCTGAAAAGTTGCCATGCGCTGAGATTCCAGCTCCAGCAGGAACAGACAAATATCTTGGAAGGCTATCATCATCCTCTGTCAGGATGGAAAATCGCCTCTTTGGCAATAGCGGTATTTATGGGATCATTATCTTATTCACGAGATCGGCCGTGAATTCCTCCCCTTTTATAATATCTTTTGAGAGCACAGGCAAGTAATTCAAAGAGCAGAACTTATTTTTAGGTTTAGTCTGAGCCTGAAATAAATTGAGAAGGCTGAGTAGTGTTACGATAAACAGGGAATAAAACAGAGACAGGAAATAGGGGGCTTTGGTAATGAGTTCCAGCCACTCTTGAAACAGAAAGCCAGAGAAAGCATTGCTTGAAAATAGTTTCTCAGTGACAGCTTAATAATTTTTAGCTTGTTATTCGACATTAAAGGGGAACAGTTCCTGCAGATTTACATTGTTCTTGAAAGATCCTTTTTTTTTAAGATCATTTAGCAAGTTATATTTTTAAWGTTTTTAGGGTGGCATTGTTCTTGCTGCTAACCGCTCCGCTGTTTAAAAAACCAGATGTTTTGGGGGGAGCCTGAGGTTTATACAGTTGTGTTTTATATATACATCTGTGAGAAGCCTCTGGGATAAGACTGAGACAGGGGCAGGGGATTCAGCTTAAAATATGAGCAGGCACTGAAGATTTTAGAAGTGGAGGGTTGAAAGGGGAAGAAATCACAGCTCCATCCTGTAGAACAAAGCAGAGAGCTCGCTTCCAAAAGTTTCTTTTAAGCCTGGGAATGTGACTGCTGAGATGGGCCCAAAGCATGGATGGTGAGATTGATATTTACAAGCACTTCACGTGGCTAAAGAGGGTAAGTGATTTGCTGGGGTTTGTTTTTTTCTCTTTCTAAATGCATATTTAGCAAAATCTCGGTGAGGATTCTCAGCTTTGCGAAGGGAAACTCATTGGGTGCGTGAGACTTTAAATGGTGTGAGTTTGTTCAGGAGGAGTGAATTAAAGACGTGCCTGGGTGTAGGAGGAGGAGGCTTAGGGAGGGGGGAGAAAATCAGCTGTCTTTGTCTTTAAAAATGAAACTGTAGGATCAAACTTGGAGCAAATGGCAATAGATTCTGGCAAGTGGCTGTGCTTTCGGGGGACTGCAGCACAACAAAGCAAATCCTGCATGGTAACTACAGCAAAAGCAGGGASAGGATCTTGTTTACCATGGTGTGCTTTAAAGTGAAAACTTTCCTTCTCTCCACTTAAGTGATTCTTCATCGGGGTAACTGTGTGAGACCTTTCGGGATGCCTTTGTCTCGGGTAAAAATGGTGCTGGTTTTCTTCTGTGCATGTTGCTCTGTTGAAAAGATGGGGTTTTAAACAGGCAATKCTATTAATTTGGTCAGTTTTGTTGATGAACTGCCAAAACATAGATTAACTGCATAAGACTGGTTTTGTCTTCCTTTCTTAAAAAAAAAAAAAAAAATAGCTTTGTGCAGCTCTCTCATCACTTTGAAAAAATCACTTTGATTTTGTCAGCTTTTGGATTTTTGTGTCCTAGTGTTAAAAAAATCTGTGAATGGATCCCTCGCAGCAGGCTGGTTTTTAAATTAGAATATGAATTTGATTGTGTGTCACAAAAGAAGCTCATCCTCTCCATATTCTCTTAAAATCTATTTTGACCTGTGTGCACTTTTCCTGCAAATTCTTACCTGGATACATATGCGCATGCACTCTTGTTTTTTCTACTAACTGTAGAAATATGAAATAGCAGCCAATGCTTATGTGAAATGTGATTGGGAACTTTAATTTGAGTACTTTCTTGAGTAAGTGTAAATATTAATGATGTGTCTGTCTTTAATAAGAGCTTGMAAATCCTGAAGTTAATTTACCAAACATTTGCATCAGATTCTGGAAACTTTCACATTTCTGGAGTGCCTGTGGAGGGGATTAAGKGGTGAGTGGACAGTGAAGGAGGAGAGACAACAGGAAGTGGCTGTTTGTAACATTATACTGTTAGTTTAACCTGTGCTCTGTGCAGTTACATCTAATTACCTCTTTTAAAAAGTGCATTTTGAGCTCACATGTTGATTTGCCATTTAAATGAGGTTGTGGATATGGTGTGGCTGCCACTCGTGCTTCCTGGTGCAAATTTCATTTCTGTAAAGACAGGTTTGCTCCCAAAGGCAATATAATAATATAATATATATAATAGATATAATATATATAAAATATAATAAGGTGTGCTGCTCTCAGCTTGTGGCTGTGTTCAGAGGTGTTCAAATGGAGCACAGGATTTACAGGAGTTAATGATGCTCTTGCTGATTTTCATGTAATTCCCTTTCTGTCAGGTACATAAAGGAGAATATCGATACTGCTGCTTTTCCTTGCAGCCTCTTTAAAGGGGTGAGCACTTGTGGGGGAAGGGAGAAGGATTGAAAATGATCTTGCTTTGTTCCCTGGAGAATCTAAGTAGACTGCACCCAAATTCCTTTCCCAAGTGATTTAGGGGGGGAAAAAAATTTGGAACAATCTAAGTTGCTTGTTCAATTCTCCCTTTCAGGAATCCCAGTGTCTCTCGTCTGGCACTGAYTGTTGCAGCTTAGAAAGATTTCAGTTCCTGCAATCATAAACTGTTGCTTTTTGCCTGATGATAAAATTATGAGTTGCTTTCAGAGTAACACATGGCATTTAACAGAGAATAACTGCACCAGGCTTCCATGAAGCCTTGGTAAAGGAGGCCAGAGCTGGCTCAAATTTCATCATTAGCAGGAATCACTTCAGAGAGCCAGATGGGTTTTGATGTTGCAGGGCTTGGCTGGGCTGRATTTGTGTGGTGTCTGTGGCTTGGACTGGCTTAGGGCAGCAAACACAAACAAAAATCACGAGATGCAGGCAGGCAAAACAACAGAAACAACTGCTATTTTCAGCTGCTTAGAATGGAGGGTCTGGTTTGGAGCAGGAGYCTTGTGAGAAGTCCTTTGGTTCTCCCGAGGGATTTGGGTTTGAGGGTTCACACACAATTTCAGGTCATCCTGTTCCACCCTTAACTGGAACACACCATTSCAAATAARCATGGCACAACCCACATTTTGGCAYRTAGTTATAGCCAAAAATGATTAATATAAATGYCAATATTTACTGCAGACAGTGTGGCACAGAGCTGATGGCTGAGCTGAAATTGGTGTRCATTGTTCTAATGCCTTCCTTTCTTCTGGAGGAGATTCAGAACCTGTACTAGCAAGAGGTGGAGAGATCAAAGCCATCATGTAGCCATTAAATTCAAGATATTGAAGGTTGACTTCTGTAAGGATATTTTCTTTTAAGACATATAACTGACTGGAAGGGAAAAAAAAAGTATTAATTTTTAGAAAAATTATCCAGATGAAATAAATCTATTTGTTTAAAATTCTTTTGTTTTAAGGAGTACCAAAATTTACCTAGCTTTGACTTTGCTTAGTTTTAGGCTGTCAGCTTTTTCCAAGTGACTGCCACTTTCACGTTAACCAACCAGTAACAATGGCAAATAAAAAATCCTGCTGTTGATTTACTAATTGCCTTCAGATGAAAGGCAAGAATTATAGATCCAGGAGTCATGTTCAGCCTTCTCCTCCTCCTCTCAGGTAACTGAGGGAATGCACATRTGTTCACATGGGTGTGTATCTGAGGCACAGCTAACATGCCAAGAGATTAAATTTGTATTGCATCTGCAGTCAGATGCAAATAAAAATGTTTACTGTGTAAGCTGCTCAATCATCACTTCATAATACAACTCCTTGTGACTCAGAATGTGATTCTACTGACCAAAAAGAGCACTGCAGAGGTGGGAAGACCATGCTTTTTTAAATATGATCAGCTCCAAACAGGCTGGGAAGAGTGTACAGCCCATATTTTCTGTTGTTGAAATGTGACCCTGCAGGCTGTGTGCCCCTGGTGGTTTCTGGTGAAGTGGACAGGCAGTATAGATCAAGAAGCCATAAATGTATTTAATTTTAATTTTTTTTTTAATTCTATTACAAATGTTCAGCTGAAGAAGAAAGGACAGTTGGGGAGGAGGATTATAATTCTATATTGGTGCCATTGTGCAAGGAGCTATAAATGAGCAGTCAGCTGCAGTTGGAGGGAGCTCCAGTGAGTGTTGGATTCCCTGGCAGAAACAGAGCTGGGAAATGAAACTCTGGGGGCTCGGGTTACTCTGGGTGCTCTGAGCAAACAGCTCCATCCCCACAATGGTTCAGTGGCAGCATGAACCACGAGACTCTTCTACAAATTTGCAAATTTTTTTTTTCAATTGTTGTGTTTTTATATAAAGTATCAAAACTCATAGGAAATGGGACACAGTACTTAAGGACAGGCCATGTTTTAGATGATTTTGCTCCCTAGAGCCATYTTGAAATCCAATCAGTGATTGTATAGCTGGAGTCATTCTTGATAAGAATTTGATAATTTAAATAAWTTTTTAATGGCACACAAAACACTTCTACTTGTTTTTCAGTCATTTCTAGGAATAATATACCTATGGCAATTTTTACTGCTTAAAGTAAACACAAGATTCCTTGATTCTGGTAAAAGACTGCAGAGACTAGATATTTCAAATTAAATGGGATTTGTTTTGATAAGATGGTATGTTTCACTGAAATTATAATTTTCTAGAAAATATCAGTCTGTTCCTATACCACTCTTGGTTGCTGGAAATGAGAGAGCATTCAAAATCAGTCTAAAAAAAAGTACATTCCAAAGGCCTAGTGCATATGAAAGAAACAGTTCTGGTTAATACACAATTTTTTTCAATTTTTTTTGTAAAAAGTGGCTTAATATAAATAAAATTTTTGTTAACTATTGCTTGAAATATTAATACAAACTCTCATAGCACTTTTTTTTTTCTGCCAGTCACAGGTGAACCATCACTCATCCAATAATGAAACCTATCAAGAAAGGCTGGCACGATTAGAAGGTGATAAAGAGTCGCTCATCCTGCAGGTATGTGCAAAAGAAAGAATGGTTTTGGCACAGTTGATATTCAGGGTATAAAGTTGGAGTGGTTGGGTATTTCTGTTGAAAGATGTTTGCAGATCAGCAGGATGTGAGTGGTGTTTTACCAGGAATTCATTAATAATCGGGACGATGCCTCTGGTTGATTTTGTGCTGGGATAGAGGAGAGAGGTGGAACAGCAGTAAAAGGGGGAGAATGGTAAATGATTTAAAATGATGCTGTGGAGTGCCAGGACTCTGCAGTGAGGTGATTCTCTGGTTGTGCCAATGTTCTGGGTTCTCTGTGCCACCATTTCTAATCACCCACCAGACCTGAGGTAACAGAGCTGCTGTTTTTCCTGGTTATACTCTCTACCAAAATTGTTTGCATCATCAAAAACCATAAGGGGCTGGAAAAACAAGGATAGAGAAAAACTGACAGTAAAATACATGTCTAAGCTCCTCCAGGTTTCCTGTTTCTCAGTTTACCAAGCTTTTTTCAAACAAATCCTTTGTCCCATGTAAGTTTTCTTCCTGGAGAAAACACATGTTGTACAATTTAAAAAAAAAATTTCTGAATTTTTGCTAGTACTAAACTAGCAAACTAGCTTTGCTAGTACTAAACCAGCAACTATGCTTTTTAAAACTGAAGCTGGAGATTATTTAAATGCTCATGGCATATCCTTTCCCCTCGTGCCTTCAAATGCATCTGTGTTTATATCAAACACAACTGCAGTGTTTTGGGTAGGTGTTCTCCCTGCTTTCCAGTCACAAGTTTCTGTAAACATGTCTTATCCTGTGTGTTCTGCTCACACTTGTGCTCATTTACTAAGCAGAAATCTCACTGCTGTTGTTAAATAAACAACAAATGTTTTCAGACACAAGCTTTGGCTTGGCTGGAAATTTTTTTTCATTACTGTTAAATTGCTATTACCAAATCAGGGGAAAAAAAGAAAAACCCAAACCTGACTGAAAAAGAAAATTTGGTTGGAGTTTAAGTGTGTGCTACAAATTCCCAAGTGATATTTATTGGAGCACCTTTTATTAATCAAGTGGTTGTTAAGTCTAAAAATTGGTTCTATTAACAATGGCAAACAACTTTTCACGCTGCACATTGACATCATGAGTGGAGAGACAATTTGGAGGCCACAGCTGAGGGTGAAACCCTCTCCTTTTTT